GAGACAAGGTTTTACCATGTTGGTCAGGCTGGTCTCAAACTCCTGATCTCGTGATCCACGCGCCTTGGCCTCCCAAAGTGCTGGGATTACAGGCGTGAGCCACTGTGCCTGACTCATTTTTTAAATCTTATTTCCCAATGCACCACCATCCACTCTCCAGTTAACACCAAATTGCTTGCATCTCATTAATTCATTATACTTATTCTATAAGCATTTACTGAGCATAAATTATATATTAGCCACTATGCCAATAAGCACAGGGAATCCTGAAGTGAACAAGACCAACATGGGCCACCTTCACAGAGGTGATAGTCTCGTTTAAAAAGTGGGACTTTCATACTGTCTGCAGCATCCTCCAGCCCCTGAAATGACTGAAGAACACAATATAACTTTCACAGCTCAGCTCAAGGCTTAATTCCTCTATTAAATCCTTTCTGACCAACTCCCACCACTGTACCTCATACACACTACCATCTAAGAACATTTAGCCCTTTATTACAACAATGTATTGGCCCAGTATGGTGGCTCACGTCTGTAATCCCAGCACTTTGGGAGGCTGAGGCGGGTGGATCACGAGGTCAAGAGATCGAGACCATCCTGGCCAACATGGTGAAATCCTGTCTCTACTAAAAATGTAAAAATTAGCTGGGTGTGGCGGCAAGCACCTAAAATCCCAGTTACTTCGGAGGCTGAGGCAGGAGAATCGCTTGAACCCAGAAGGCGGAGGTTTGAGTGAGCCGAGATTACACCAGTGCACTCCAGCATGGGTGACAGAACAAGACTCTGTCTCAAAACAAACAAACAACAAAAACAAACAAATAAACAAAAACGTATTTACTAGTCGATTGCATCAAAATGGCACATAGGCAACGGCCATCTCTTAGTCATCTTTGAAATGAATGAAAACACAGAAATAAAGACTATGAAGATCATGGCATAGCATACTGATGCACTTAATAATCTGTCTAAAAATGAAAAACTGAAGGAATTACTCATTTTATTCTTATCAGAAATGTCTTTTTTCTGTTATCTTTAAGTTATTCTACAGACTATAAGTCCCTTAAAGTCAGGAATCATATATTTTTGGTCCTGTTCTGAGCACATATTAATGACAAAATATTTATTGAACACATTCTCTAGATCTACAATTCATAACTATTAGACCATGGTAAAAATGTCACAATACTTAAGAAACTGAAATCAACAATAATCAGATTAATAAGGCTCTAAAATGTGTAGGCATGGGTGGTATTAAATCCATTTTATGAATGTCTGATTTCAGTGATAATGCCAATTCACTAAGAATACAGGTAGAAAAACAATCACAAAACCTTAGAATTGTTTATTCTTACAACAGCCAAGAAGTTGTAGATCTAGATAATGCAAAAAGAAAAGAATCCCACAATGTAGAAAATGCTGTTGGTTCCTATAGAACATAATAACAATGATAACATCAGCAATAATAATGGCAAATACATACAGTGTTTTCTATTTGGCATGTACAGTTCTAAATACTTTGCACATACTAACTTATTGTACGCTCATTTCAACCCCATGAGACACTCTCATTATACAGATAAGCAAAATTAGGCACACACAGGTAAATTCATTTGCCCAAGATCACTCAGGTAATAAATAACTGAATTTGAACCTAGGAAGTCTGGTTCCAGAGTCTTTGGTATTAACCACAATATTATTTTCATTCTTTATTGTTATACAATACAAGTGGCCATCCAGACCCTATACAAATAAATGCCATCCTAAACATATGTGGTAAATTTCAGGAGTCCTCAGCTTCTTGTTATGACTTCTATTTTATATTTGAAATGTAAAAAAACAGTATGGATATGTGAGACAATCAAGAGAGGTCACTGGGAGTAAGATCAGGGAAAAAACTTAATTATTTTGCAGTGCATAAAGAAATTATCTAACAGCTATTTGACATAACTTTAATACTAACCCCTAAAATTCAAGAGCTATGAGGAAAAAGTTTTGTCACCTGTCAGCCTACCACCAACTAGATCAGTCACAAGATCAACAAACATTATTACAAGTAGTAAAGGGGAAAAGCCACCTAGGGCATTGGTGCCATGCATAGGACTTTTGAAAGCACTGCAATACATTTCATCTGTAGTTCTAAAATGCATAACAGCAAGCAGAGTTCATAGCTTTGGCACTTTTTATAAAAACTCTTCAAAATAATCCTTATTTAGCTATCACCACTGCATTCCAAACAATATTAACAATGTGTGGGTTCAAACCATGACTTTGAAAATGTAATTTGTGAAAAGTGATTAGAAACAGAATTACACCCTATCAAATAAACAAACCTACCATAAAGGGCCTTTGCACTTGTTTTTGAACCGTGTTCTCTGTCCATTTGGGAAAAGGTGGGTGATGACCCGTAGCCACTGCAGTTAAAAAAAAGAAAAAAAGCAAAAGTCATTCTGTTGGGTTAAAGTCCAACATAAGTAATAGAAACTCAACTAGAAGATAAAAATTCCAATGCACTATAATCACCATGTGTTTAAAAGAATATATTGAGATACTAACTGAGTTTGTCAAAATGAGTCAGCTCCTGCTCTGGTGAGTGGTAATGGAATAAAATATAAACCATACTTTCACAATGAGGACCAAGGCTGGTTCACATCACAGCCTCCCCTCAAATGCCATGTCAGAACTGTAGCCAAGAAGATTCACTATGGTTGAAACTATCTTAAAGAGTTGAAGTTTATCATATTGAATTAAGTTCTGAAAGGTAATCCAATTATAACAAGTTCTTAAGGATTCGAGCTTAGGATATAATGAAACAGACAATCCAGTTGGCCTAAATAACACTTTATCATTAAACTTGACCTGCTTTACCTTATATCTAGCCTCTTGTTACTAACATGTTATATAAAATCAATAGTACTTTATTTGAATTTTATTCATTTATTTAGTAAACTTTTTTTTAAGATCCAAAACCTAGAAGAATAAGGAGTAAGGGAGGGGAAACAGGGTGCTGTCAATAAGATAATTACATAAAATAATTACAATAGAATGCAATATCTGGGTGAAACTATAGATATAACATGGAAAATCAAAGGACTAACTCTTTATCAATATATCTAAGAAAACTTTACTACCGCATTGACTCAAGCAGAATCCAAATAGAAAGAAGTTCTAAAAACGGGCAGAGAATCAAGTGAGGAAAAGGTATGTGGAACTGACTCAAGAAATAGCACAGTGTCTGTGGAAAGATGCAGTTAATGTAACATTCCCAGAATAGATTAAAGATTGGAGAAGCTGTGGCAGATTGAGGGCTTTTAGCATCATGATTTAAGAATTACATTTTATTCTATTCTCTAGAAATAGTAAACCCCTTACCTGTTATAAAAAAAATGATGAGTAAAATATATACCACAATGGCCAGTATCAAATAACAACATTAATCATAATATACAAGACAACAGTCAATTAAGTCAGTGTTGTGATTTCAAGTTATACCTTGACCCACTGGAATTATTTTGTTTGCTGGCCTGATCTTTTCTAGTTTTACATAATGGTAAATAACTTGATTGGCTTACTTGAAATGACATTTAGCCCTTCTCAAATACCAATATTTTACAAATAACAATAATACAATGCACCACGGAAATTCAAAGCTCTGAAGTAGACTATATATTCAACTATGAAAAGCAACAATGCATAAAGTACTAGAATGAAACACTGTCCAAATGTGAGAGCACTAGCATTATCATGAGGCTCTTTACCATCTTATTCTTAACATAGAAAACTTTTAATGATAACATGTGTTGTCACAAAGATATTACATATTAATGAGGAATGAATTACTGAACTATACAAAAAAATATAAGTAATCTTTTCATTAAAAATACAAAACAATTAAAATCACCAAATCGAATCCCCCAAAACACATTAAATATAAACCTTTCGACTTACTTCATCTGAGATGGGTACATTCCAAAACTACTGGGATGATTAGAAATATGACCATTCATTGTGTCCTTCACGCCTGTGTTCTAAAAAAAGAAAGACACATAGATTAAAGTCAATAAAAAGGTCAAGACATCTCAGTTTCAAAAGTTTTCCATTCAACAAATATGTGCTACTGCCAGGAATTATAGTAGAAATACAAAGATAAAGATTTCCACCCTCAAAGACCTCAGGCTCCAGATGTATAGAGGAACACTTAAACAAAGATCCATTGGCATTTAAAATTAATATGCTAATATTGTAAGCAAATTTAGGTGAACAAAAGAAAAATCTAAAATATAGTTCTGAGTCCTCAAAGCATATAGGCATAATTCTACATTCTGCCAAAACTCATAATCAACTATCAATTTTATGAGATGTTATGTTGTTTACTGTTACATTATAAAATATAAACTCATTTAATTAAAAAACTTGAGAAATAATAGAAAAGTATAAAAGCAAAAAGTATTACCCAGAGCCCTATCATTTACAGAAAATCACATTACAGTTACCTGCCAGTCTTTTTGCCTACAAGTGGTTTTCTTTCCTCCCTTCCTTCTTTTATTTCTTTCCCTCAAAGCACATCTGACAAAAGAATTAGCTCAAATTATTAACTGAAATATGTGCTTTGTTACAAATGCACATGGATACATCTTTTATCAAGAAAGTTTTCATTTACACATATCTTTTACTTTTTTAAGAAAATAATTTTAAAAATCAGCATCAGCTAGTTAACCTCAGAATCCATTTTTAAGTCTATTTTACAGATTGAACAAACTTCCTTCAAACAAGATAAATAATGAGGAAAACTTCCTTATCACCAAATGGAATGGCCTTTTCTTTCTTCTAGACAACACTGCTATACCCAGTGTATTTCTATTCACTCCTGGGTATTTGGTCCTTTCCAGATTTGTGTCACTAAGTTATCCTGGATCCTGTCTTATGTTTCTGACTTTTTTCTTTTCAAGTATATTTCATTACAATGTCGTCTCAATAACTGAGTTAGGCAAAACATACCCCAGCTTTACGGGCCAAGGGGGTGGAAACATGACTAAATATTCATTTATTAAGTTTCAGATCCTGTGATGGATATTGGTACCACCAAAGTGAACCAAACAGACATGGTCCCAATTATAGGGCCAACTGTCTAGTGGGGGAAAACAGATAATGAATAAATGTAAAATTTTAAGTTGCAGTTATTAATATTATTACAAGGGGAACATTGATTGTAACATGGAAGCATGTAATAAGGGAACTTAATTCAGACTGGCAGGGCACAGAAAGCCTACATAAAGAAGTAATATTTAAGATCTGGTCACTTTAATTCTTTCTCATTCTTCAGATCTTGGTTCAATCACAATATCCTCAGAGGAAGATTTTACTGACCTTCCTGAATAGATAAAATTCCACTATCAGACACTCTCCACACTATAGACAGTTTTTCAAAGCACTTATCACATTCATAACTTTTCATTTACTTAAATTAATACCTGACACTTCACTAAACTCTTAGCCCCCAAAAGGCATGAATTTTTGTTTGATGACTTCTGCTTTTCAAAGAAGAAGAAGGGTACCAGGCACAGAACAGGTGTTCTTTAAATATTTATTCAGAGAAAGAAAGAAGGAAATCCATGTCCTACTCTTCAAAGAGTTTATTGTATTCTTAGGGAAACAAAGTTAATTCATGTAAAACAAATAGTAAGGAATTAAGTTCTAATGAATGTAACTCTATTTTAAATCTGCTAGAAGATCAGAGAGGGAAAAGGCCATGAAGATGGTCATTACTTTCTCGAAGGGCTGAGACTTGACCTAGTTCTTTAAAAATGGGTTAAGAGTGGCCCTCAAAACACTGGAATCAAGCTTTCCTGATAGTATTATCTATATTTATCCACTATTTAAAAGCAAATTTATAAATTAAGAAGCAAAGAAAGATTGGCCTCTGCTCTATACATGGACTGTGCTTATAAAATTACATTCATATTATATTGCTGTACTCCATTTTTGTTGTTTTCCTTTTCAGTTTATAGATAGAATCAGTGGTGTGCTGGTAACCAGTTCTCAGGGTGGGACAAGGCAGAGGGCCTGATTTGTAGTGCTTATTGATTTCCATGGTATAAATATTCCCACCATGGCCAATTTCAAGCAGTCGGTGGTTTAACAGCAGCTTACAAAATTCCTAAATTCTTCACAATTTGCTCTCATAACCCTAAAGGATCCAACTACAGCACATCATTGCTACATTCTATAATTTGGGCCAGAACAGAGGCCTGGAATAACATTATGGAACTAGAGATAATACGGTCGGGATATAGACATTCACGAAGTCTGGAATTTTAACACCATTCCTGGCACTAATTGGACTAGGAAAGTCAAGCCTCTGTCTCAACATTCTTATCAGTAAAATAGAGATAATTCTTCATCTTCTGAGCTCACAGTGCTAGTGTAAAGATGAAATGAGATAGATGTGCAAGCTTCTTCCAAAATTGAAAAAAAAAAAAAAAGAAATGTTCTTTCAAAGCAAGCTGGTTTATTCAGTATATAAATTAAACCCCCAGGGTTTGAGCTGATTTTGATCTCGTTTGCATTTTAAAACCACAGCAGCTGGTTTTAATGAAAAGTGATAGCCACAGCAACTCATCTTTTCATGTTTAATTCTTCATGACAATTAAATAAATGCATGGTCTCTGTTTTGTTTTAAAATAGTGATCTGTTAGAAAGAATAAGAGAACATTAGAAAAGGGAATAGAAAATGTCAATTTGCTAAATTGAATTTTAAATATGGAAAGTTTATGTCATTTGGGAATCACAGTTTCACTTATCACAGTGGCTCATGTGGCAAATATGGAAGCTTTCAAATACCCAAATGGAGCAATTGCAGTTTATACCATGCAGAGGAAAAAATTACAAATGCTTGTCTTTTTTCCACTAGGCTTTTAAGACATACCCACAGTTTATACCCATATACACCATGTACACAATTTAAAATAACAATAAACTCTCACTGAAAAACTGTTTTTATTTATATAAACTGTTAAAGCAACCTAAAAACTAAGGAGATAAAGTTTTCTTTATCACTTTTAAGTTTAAAGACTCACAAATGCAGGTAATCACACTAACTACATAATTCTACTGAAAGTGTACACTAAAGCCATCATAATACTACCATCTACAGGACTTTGAACTGCAGAGTGTACTTATAAGCAGATATTCTTCCACCTCTGCCACCCTGAGACAGCAAGATCGACCCCTCTACTTCCTCTCCCTCAGCCTACTCAACATGAAGACAACAAGGATGAAGACCTTCATGAGGACCCATTTCTATTTAATGAATAGTGGACATATTTTCTCTTCCTTAAGATTTTTTTTAACATTTTCTTTCCTCTAGCTTACTTTATTTTAGAATATATAATACATATGCAAAATATGTTAATCAACTGTTTATAGTATCTGTAAAGCTTAGGTAAACAATAGGCTATTAGTATATGTTTTGGAGGAGTCGAATTTATACACGGATTTTCGACTGAGTGGGGGTCAGCACCCCTAATTCCTGCATTTGCTCAAGTGTCAGCTGTATTTGATTTTAAGTAACAGCATCCATGTCATTATGAAAACATTTTTAGTAAGTCATAGTTACTCTAACTTTATTTTCTACAGAAGATAAAACTCTTTGACAATTAGAAGGATATAAATGATAAATTTAAGATCTAAGTTAAACACATCAAAAATGTAAAACACTATAATTTTCAAAAAGAGTAAATGGAATGCATGAAAAAAAATGACTGTAAGGAGAAATAAACAAGGCTATAAGGCTAACCCAGCAAATTAAATTTGTATTAGAAAGTTTTAAGATTCTCATATATAAGTACATTTTAGATTCCTTTTCTTTACTCTTACTTGCATCTAATATCAATTTTCAAATTGGTAGATGAGTATGTAGTCATGGGTCAATGTCAAAAAACTACCTAACCAATCTTGCTGCCACATAATTATTAACTCTCTGCATATTTAACTGTCCTTCAAATGACTTGTGTTGTCAGAAAATATCACTGATTTTTTTTATCTTCTAAAGTGTGTGTTTGGATATGACAGAATATCTAGAAACATCTATGTCTAGGTTTCAATTTAATTTATGTCTCTCAGTCTAAGTTATAACCAAGTGGGAGGGGGCATTATCATTACTTAGGATTTTAACTAAAACCAGTGAAACTTAATTTCTACCAATGCTTCGTGACATTGTCTACCAATGATTTTGCTTAAAACATTTAAAAAAAATAATAATCTTCTTTAAACCTCTTAAATCATCACAAATGTTGTCTCCTACAGTGTCTTCTAGAGCAACCACGTATTAATATATCTTACGAGTACCATCAATAAAGATAACACCATGTATTTTTCCATGTTATTTGTTCAAACATCAAGTAACAAATAGTTTTTATGTGTGAATAAACTCAAAAAATTAATAAGGACATTAAGCTCTTGTAACAATAATGTGGTTAATGCCTGTGAAGGTATCACAGTAATTTCTAGGTCATGTGGAAGAACAGTATTTTCTCAAGGCCAGTATCAATGTAAATGGAGTAGCTTTATGCCTTTAAATCAACACATAAATAACTTAAAATCATTAACTTAGACCCTCTTTCTTTGTTATTATGAGAAAATTCTTAAGCTGTTTATAAATTAGAACATAATTTTAGAAAAAGTCTATGATCAAATCAGAATGTTGTTTGCTGAACAAGTGGCTGAAGAAAACTACTTACAACAAAATTTGATACGCAACTTTGGAAAGAACTAATTTAGTACTAATTATGTTTGCTATTATGATGGATTTCACAGGAAGGCCTAACACAAAGACGAGCCATAGGCATATCCTAATACTACTATTGTATTTCCTTCAAATTCTTGTCCATTCCCTGAGTTGCTACAATGACATCATCAGCACACATGTGCTATTGGATGTTATACTATACGTAGGAAATTACTAATATCTCAATTCAAAACACTGTTGATATTGTACTGACTTGGGATACTATGCTAATTTTT